GTAAACCAGTTAAAAAATAACATGTGTACTAGAATTTTCCAAAAACAAATAACTTAACATTTTCAACTGTTAATTATCTTAGTCTTCTGGCAGAAGCTGTCAAGAAAAGAGTGATTCATGAAGGTCGCACAATTTATTGGCTATTTCTCTACCTTTTTTGGAAATTGCAATTTTGACGCTAACAAAAGACGACGTTTTTTTCTCAATCCAGAATGTTCAGAGGAACAATAAGAGAATAAAAGGTTTCATAATGTTTTCTCGGACAGCAGATTAGATTCAGCTCTCACAGACAAACGTCGAAGCTACAGTTCCAATGGCGAAGATTTCGATTTCTCTAGCTGTCGTACTGGTTTTCGCTCAGGGGACATGTGCTTACATATGGGAACGAACCAAGAGAGTGAGGGAAGAAGCAAGTAAGTCTGACAAGTTATTCTCAAAATTGTTCACTTCAAACCAGCGCACTGGCCTTCACGTTTGATTTCGTCAGAACGTACAGTTATTTGTTGCAAATTCGTCTACACAGGCTAAATATCGGTAGATACAGCAGGTCAAATCTTTTTCCTTTCACCATATTCGTTACTTTTCAAACCTACATCCAGAAACTAAAACATCTCCATATCCATTCAAAGATACAATCACCAAATAACTCGTAACGGCAATTTATGTTAGCCTTCTCATAATTAGCATGATCCAAGCAAAATCTTAATTACCATTTGCCATACATTTTAAATGTTTGTTTTAAGAGTTTGGTGTTACAAGACAATCTCTCCAAGTTTATGTTCTTCTTTTATCTCGTCTACTTGACAATGTTACGAGACAATGAATTTTGACCAACCTTTATTTCTAACCAGGCTAACGAAGTGGACATATTTCCAAATGCTAATAGCTGTGTTCTTTCTGTTCTGCAATAGGGTTTCAAAAAATTCCGCCAGAGAATGAAACAGCCATAAAATTTACGAAACACTTCGTAGGTTTTGATTCCGAGGCAATTCCGCCGAGGGTTGTGAGTTCGCCTTCACTCGATTATGATGCGGTCTTCGTTATCGATTCTTCGAAGTCAATAACTCAAGAAGGGCACAAAAAATCTCTCAGAGCGCTTCGACTGTTGATAGAAAAGACCAGTCCTGGCAAGAGGTTCGCTGCCATCTCTTACTCCAGCAAGGCAACACTCCGTTATAATTTCACTAGAAAAGAAAACGCCATTGAGAAGCTGAATGTCAGAGAAATTCCCTTTGAAGGAGGTGACAAAAACACACAAGACGCATTGGATAAATGCACCAAACTCATTCTTAATCCGCGTAACGGAGCTCGTCGTGGAGTACCGAAGCGTGTTTTGATCCTCACTGACGGCCAGTCCAACACGCACAAGACAAAGACATTGTATCGAGGTCTACAGTTAAAGAATGCTGGGGCGCAAGTCTTTGTGATTGCAGTTGGAAAGTATATCAAAGGAATCAACGAGATTGTAAGCCTTGCAAGCTCCACGGATGGTCACCTATACCGTGTACGAGACACGAATGGGTTGTTGCGCATCGTGAAACTCATACCTCCTTGGAAAATGATTAAGATTTTCATGCAACGTACATGGCTCTCGCAAATGCTTGATAAGAAGCCACAACCATTCAGTTGGAGGGAGCACAGACACCATCATAAGAAAAGAATGTAACTGATTCATGCCAATATCAAGGCAAAGTCCTGAAGAAGGGCTAAGCCCGAAACGTATAGCAAACCAGCTACTATTTGGCACTTTCAAGGGCCTTTTCAGCCTCATATTCAGTTTATCGTCATAGTGTCATGCATCTTATGAGTTTTTTT